GCTTGATACCCAAGATTCCACTTGACTTTCTACATATAGATAAGATGTAATTCCAAAAAAATCATCTAGCTCTTAGGGGCTGTTCACTTATTACGTAACGCGAAAAAATGACTTTTTAGACCCCCCCCCCCCCTCGTAACAAAATTTGTATGAAAAAAAAATTTCCTTGTTTGAACCGTAACAAAATCTTAGACCCCCTCCCCCCCTAAAAGCGTTACGTAATAAGTGAATGGCCCCTTAGCAAAAACTAACCTTAATGTCCAGCATATTCCTTCAAAATTCATACTATCGAGGTCCTGATTTTTGCCTAGTTTCAAGTGCTCTAATAGAGACACTTGCCTTAGTTTTGGTTCTAAGGTAGAGGAGCCTCGAAATACCAGCCTCTGTTACATCTTCTCCTGGAATTAATTATCAACACTTGGATACTAGATTGCAGAGCTCGAAGTCGATAGGGTTCGAATCAACTTTAATTGACTTGACTCGACTCAATTGAACTCGTCTCGTCTTCGAGCTCTGCTAGAATGTATAATGCTTCCTTCCATGACATCAATATTCTAAAATGCGCTTACTATAATCACCAATTAAACTTTATACTATTTCAAAAAACACAGAAAGTATCTCAAAATTAAAGTAATATTCACTCACCAACAATTTCTCCATACATAAATCTCGCAATAATTTAATTTTCGCTTGACTGACATTTTGATGAGTTCTCAAGTGCTTTTGTATTTTTAATTACTTTTTTTTTCATTCAGCAGGTAGAGAGTTGGCAATTTTAGCCTTTCGTAAAAGAGGAAATTTTACAATTTTCAGATCCTTAAGATTCATTATTCATGCTCTTAATTAATATCCAGGTTTTTGTAAGTGTTCCTGATTATTCGAAAAGCTTTTGTTTTCACAAAAATCCATTTTATATCCACAGTAATTCATGAATATTTCATGCATCAGGAAATTTGATATTTTGTCATTTTGTGTTTGTAGATTTCATGTACAGCGGAAATGTTAAGTACAACTTATTCATATTATTTTGTCAGCACCAAATAATATGGTTTGATGCTAATTAAACTTACTGTGGCTTAAAAAGCTAATAAATATTTTAGTTGACTACAATTTTCATATTGTGGAAATGGTAAGTAAATTATTTGCTGAGCTGACACTTGATGCACAAGTCCACAAAAAGTTCACAATTTCAAATTGAATTGCCATTGTAACTTTGACATGCCAATCTGATTGCTTCGTCAGGTGAAAATAATTAGTTCAAAGCATTGAATTGATTGAAATTTGATAGTCGTGTCTATTGCAAATATCCTTTGATCTGTTGCTCATGTGTAGGCTGCTCATATTTTTTCCGACTTTTCGTCAAAACGCGAGACATGTCACGATTTCAGCTTTTAAAAAACGGGACAGACCAAATTTTTAAGCATTTTTTAAGAAAAATAGAGAGCATTAAGGATTTTAGGCAGAATTTTGTTTAAATAAGCGAGACTGCCCCGCTCAAAAGTGCTCAGTTGGACAGCCTATTCATATTTCAGTTGCAATAATTGTATTGACTTTGAAATTCTCAGATAAATTGTCTTTGATGACGTTATTGTTCAGGAAGGACCCAGCAAGAGGGAGAATATGGGGTCAAACCCCCATTTTTTTACAAATTCTCAATACCCTTTGAGGTCGTTTACTTATTACGTCCAAAATCAACTGTCATTTTTGACGTACACGTCCCTTTTCCCAACATAAACTATTTGTCGCTCGAGGAGGGGTTCAACTAGTACTTTAGCTCGAAAAGCTACGAAAAAATAACTTAAAAATCCACTGAAAAAGGACCCTGTGAGAAAAAAACATCTAATAAGGCACAATAGAGTTGCAAAGACTATCCATGCTGTCTTACCTTGAACAAAATTTATGAATAACCCCTAAAAACACCTTCATTATTTTTCCAACATATTAAAAAAAGCTGATAAACATGCTCGATAGCACCAAAAACAAAAAACCATAAAATCTTGATCAGTGATTTAGAATAAAAAATCAATAGCGCGACACTTAATACTCTTTAATTATTTTTAAATAGTATGTCAAGTGTTTGAAGAGCAACAAGGCACATCGAGAAATACGAGAATTTAATTATTTTCTCGCGATATTGACATAATATTTATTTATAATAAACTTTTTGAGCTCATTTAAACTTCAATTAAAACTTTTTTTGTCTATAAATTATGGAAAATTTCTTCATAACTGTTTTTATGTCAAGCTATGAATATTTACAATTTTTATTCCATATTCTAATTCACTTCCTTGACATTCATCTGAAAATTTATATCGAGCTCAGTGACGAGACAAATGTAAATAATTTAAATTTACTGACATTCGAGGATTTAATATTCGGTTTTGTTTTGTGGTTCTGTGCATGCATTATGTCAGTCATTACATTTACATTTGAATTATTTATAAAGGAAAAATTTGTACAACAAATCGGATTGATAACAGTCTTGGAACTTTTTGGAGTATACATTTTATTGATATTCAATGGATTTAAAATTATTCGAAAGGAATTGAGACTGCTTTTATAGACTTCAAAGGTTTGTGGAATTTTTGTGAATTTAATGAGACTTTTTTGGTGATTTATGTGTGTGGAAATAATTTGTTTAAAAAATGGATGATGAAGTAAGGTGTCATCAAGGTGTGGAAACCAAGGATTAATCCTGAATAATCCCAAAAGAATTCAATAAAATTCAAATTTTATCATTTATCTTAAGGGCAAGTTTCTAGGGTTCCCCGGGGGATCAGGGGAGGTAGGTCACCCTAGGATAGTCTCCCCAATCCTCCATCTTGGGCAGTGTTGGGTAGAATAAGGTAGGTAACCTTAAGACACTCTAGAGAGGGGTAGCATAGGGTTTCCTAGGATGATCTACCTATCCTGAGTAGGAAGAGAGTGCGAGAGTGCGAGGTCTCAGGGTCGAATTTGGAAATTTGTTCTTAACTTGCTAGTGTTTATTGAGAGAAACTTTCTATCTACGCCCTTAATTCACATATTTCAATATTATGTTGAATTTTATTAACAAATTTGTAAAAGATTTGAACTACAACCTGAAGCGTGACTAGAAATGTTGTGAAGCATAGATTTAAATTGTTTCGGGAGTCTATTTATATAGATCAAGAGTTGACAGCCAGTCTACCAATGTCATTTTTATCTCAAATGCATAAATCTCCGCAACTTTGAATGTTTAAGATCTTAGAAGCACATCTATCTTAAAGATAATACAAATGATGCTGCAAATTATTTTGTTTGTGCATGAATTTTCTTCTTCTCTTGTTTTTCTATTGTTATCCAAAAATATAAGAGTACACATGACACCCATCATTGGCATCAAATCTTAATAAATTCAAAAATAATTAAATTTAAAAAAACGGGTAGTCAAGAAATTTTTTTTAATGGGGGCGTGTCGAGTTTTAATTTTTTTGTTGTAAATATTGAAGGTAAAGTTTAAGTGTGGTTGGGACTTGTTTTCTCCAAATCTTAACAAATTAAACAAATTTTTTATTACCCCCTAAAATCACCTTCCTGGTTTTGACCCTGGGTTTGCGACATCATCACAGCAGAAGTGACTGAAATTTTCTCCATTAAAAGTTTTTCCTCAAACACTCTAGCAAAAAAAAATTTTTTTGGTGTCTATGGAGACAAATTTCCCCGAGCTATGCTCAAATTAACTCCAAATTCTATATATAAGATCACAACTTTTTTTATTTTGGTGAGAAACCCGTTTCTTCGAAGATTCTAAAAAGTTTAAATCTCATAGCTGCAGCTATTGAATCAGAATCAAAAAAGAACTATAATAAAGATGATTATTTTATCTACTTTGTTTGACAACAATAAGCAGCGCGATAAAAAAAACAGTCACTCTCAGTCGTTAAGTGACTCGCAAGATATCAAAAAGTGTGTCATAAATTCTTATTTTTTTTGTCAAGAGGTATGAAAATCAAGATAAAGGTGCAGTTTAGTCAGTATGAAAAATTTCCGCTCACTTATTCGAAAATTGTTTTCGATTTTTCACGTAAAGCAGAGCTCAAAGTCGACTCAAGTTTTTCATCGATTTTGTATGGCAGAGTCGACTCAACTCCATACAAAATTTCATCAGCTTTGAGCTCTGATGTAAAGACATGCTGAAAATAAATTATGACATGCAACTTGTTCAGGAATTTTTCATGGTAAAAAAATCAACAGTTTGGCATGATTTGCTTCTGCGCTTACCTACAATAACAAAAATCATCTGACTTCTGTTTTTATTATTTTAAGAGAGAAATGTGAAATTGCCATAAAATATTCTCTCAAAAGCTGCTAATCAATCAGCTATAATTTAAAAGTTTCTTTATGTTCGTGTGATAGCAATTAATTATGTGTCATATAGTTATTGTGTTCAGCTAGTCAGGACTTTAATTTTAATTCTCATATTTGCTGTTGATTGGACGTAGAACCAATGTAGAATATTTTGGTAAGAATGAAGCTACGAGCCTATAAAGCTAGTATGCTAAATCAACGGTTCATAGCGAGAATAAACTAATATGTCATGAGGAATCGGCAAAATCAATAATCGGTATGAGAATGCAATTTCCTATAAGGCATAAAAATTCATTTAGCAGCGAAAGTTTAAAGTGAAAGCACAAACACAGAAAATTCTCATCCATCATTTTTCCTGTGATTTAAATTCCATTATTTTTCGGTATTACCGCGAGCGTTTCTATTATCCGTGATGTCCTATCTCATCTAAATTAAGAAAAGATATAAAAAAATCTCGACCAAAAATAAAAAGCCTCAAAAACGGATCCAAAGACGATTTTCTTCAAACTTTTTACCGCGTCGTTGATATTTTCTTCATCATCTGCCGTCTTTCCATCTGACTTAATTGCACCTCAACAAAACCTCCAAATAATAAATAATAAAAAAAAATTAATTAACTTTCCTAATTGCAATGAATTTTCTGAAGGAGACAAAATACTTATTCAAGAAGATGAGTAATGTTGAGGATGGAATCGAGAAGTGTATAAGGGTAGAGGAGAAGACAGAATTGCCAGAAGTCACCAAATCTTCAACAGTTTATCATTTTGATGAAGATGATTTAAAGAAAGGAACGTGGGAAAAAATTAGAAAATGGATCATGGAAAATCTCATGCTTTTGACAACACTTGCTGCTGTTATTATTGGCGTTACCGCAGGTATGGTGGAAATTTTTATAATTTTATCTTACTTTTCACATTAAAAACAATTAGCAGCACGTGTCTTAGTGAAGAGAGTCGAGAAAGTTTGGTGAAGTTTTGAGTGAATTTGATGGATAAAGCGTTGGCTTGTAGATTTATGGTCATTAATTGTGGATTAGGAATTAAATTTGGAGTAAGTTGTAGCTTGGTCGTAGCTAGGCGCAAGATAAGCAAAAGCTAGTTGATAGCTAGGCGCAAAATAAGCAGGAGCTAGTTGATAGCTAAGCGCAAGATAAACGGTATCTTGTTGATAGCTAGGAGCATGATAAGCGGTAGCTAGTTGATATATAGGCGCAAGATAAGCGAAAGCTTGTTGATAGCTAGGTTCAAGATAATCTGATCCAGTTTTCAGATAGTCATAACAAAGCAAGATGTTATCAATAGAACATTCGATGACATACTTTACTAGCCAATACTCCTAGTATCTGAATAGCTCTACAAAGTAAACACACAAAACCTTCGTCAATTTCATTTCATTAGTTCCAATACAATTCTCATTGCTATAATACAATAAATAAATTACATAAACTATTCTATCGATGTAATCGTCCAATTACTCTTTTAATAGAACGGAACTAAATTCAATCTTCTTTCCTTTTTTCTTTCCATTCAACGATTTCGAACGAACAAATAAAACAAAATACTACAACAACAACATGAAAAAGGTCTGAGCTTACGACAATTTGACTTATGCAAGGACACAATAATTATTATATCGTACCCCGGGGAGCTTTTTATGAGAATTTTAAAGCTCATGATACTTCCTCTCGTAATTGCAAGTTTAATTACGGGATCTGCATCAATTAATGCAAAAATGAATGGAAAAATTGCTCTTAGAACCTTTGTGTATTTTGCATCGACGTCATTATTTAATGCTGTACTTGGAACAGCTCTCGCAATGTTCATCCATCCTGGGAGTCCTGATATGCATAGTGATTTAGATTTAGCATCGAATCCGAATAGTGTTAATTTAATGGATAGCATGTTGGATATTGGAAGGTTGGTTTTATTATAAGCAGTGTTGTTATCTGGATGTGGAGTTGATCTAGACATAATTTGATGTAATTCCATTCACATCAGACATAACAGGCTACAGAATTGAATGCGTACGTACATCTTAGATTGATTAGCGTCTAAGTAAGGCATTGAGCAGCCAGCAAGACACTATCAAGTCAATCCTTAACATCCAGTATAACAACACTGATTCTAAATATTCAAATCTAATCAATCTTCAATTTTGTAGAAACATTTTCACCGATAACATATTCCAAGCATCATTTCAATCAGCATATACAAGCTATGTCCCAAAAAAACTTCCGTTTGAACTCAACGACACGGATACTTTAAGTGAAACATCAAAAAAGCTTATTTTTGTAAATGCAAACCCTGTTGCCGAGCTAAAAGAAGAACGAGAGATGATTCCTATCGTACAATATCGATCCGGTACAAACATGCTGGGTATTGTATTCTTCTGTCTAGTTTTCGGTACTATCTTGGGAACAATCGGCGAGAAAGGTCATGTTGTCATCAACTTTTTTACGGCCGTCTTTGAAGTGATTATGAAAATGGTCATTCTAGTGTGCGTGTGGCTTAGTCCAATTGGCATCTCGTCCGTTATTGCTGGTAAAATTTTGAGCGTTGAAAATCTCTCGCTTGTCATCTCCCAACTGCTCCTATTCATCATAACTGTCGCAGCTGGTGTTTTTCTGTACCAATTTGTTGTACTTCAAGCTATATATTTTTTAATTGTCAGGAAAAATCCTTTCAAGTTTTATGGAGAACTCGTTCAACCGTTACTTTATGCTTTTGCTTCTGCTTCCAAGTAAGCGAAAAAAAATCCTTTTTGTGTATTTTTTTCTTTTTTCTCGTTTAACATGATTATCGTGCTGTTTTAGTGCATTTTTAAGGGGAAGGGATGGAAATTTTAATGTCTAAAGTTTTCTTGTTTTTTGATGATTTGTATGAAGTTATTATCTCAAAGTGGGTGTTCCCAGCAACCTATTGACCCCCTTCTACTCATGTCACATAATATTAACGCTAGAGTCGCACTCAACAAGTCAAATTCCCATTCATTCTTCCACAAAAATGCGCTAAAACACAAACTAATTATGCAAACAACCTTAATTTTCCAAACTCTTTCTGTTTGTGACTGATAATCGTCTTTTATTCCATCCTTCCTTTATTCATCTCATCTCATTTAGGACTGCAGCATTGCCATTAACATTTCAAGTACTAGAACAAAAAGTGAATATCGATAAACGGATTACGAGATTTATTTTGCCGATTGGTGTATTGAATATGGATGGAACGGCATTGTATGTATCTGTATCAGCGATTTTTATTGCACAAATGAGTTCGATGAGTCTGGGATTAGCGGAGATTATCACGGTGATTTTGACATCATTTGCAGCATCTATGTCTGTTGCTCCCGTTCCGTCAGCTGCACTCGTTTTACTCGTAATGGTTTTAACATCAATAAATGTGCCACTTCAGGACATAACATTACTTTTTGCAATTGATTGGTTTGTGTAAGCACATTTGAATATTCCACATGTGAAATTTTTTCTTTATGAATATATTTTCATACAATTTAGTGACCGGATAAGGACAACGAATAATATGTTGGGTGATTGTTACACTTGTGCTGTGGTCGAGCATTTGTCAAAGGCAGAATTAATGGCATGCGATGCGGTCAACAGCTTACCTAACCATAATTCAACAAAATCAAGAAATGATTCAGTTCCAGAATTAATTGTGGTGAGTGTCGAAAGTAGTAAAAAATAAAATTAGAAATAAAGCTAGTTGGTGATGATGGCCATTGGATAGATTGTAAAAATTTATGGTTTTTCTAACAACACTTTGGTGAATTTGTGTGGTTGTAGATTTGATGGGGGGGTGTGGATACGTATTAAAGGGAGATGAAAATTATTGAAATTTAATTTAAAATTGATTAAGCAATTTTTTATTTGAAATATCAGTTTTAAGGGGTACCCAGGGTACCCTGCCATGGTATTAATAAATATTATTTATACTCCAAATTGTAGAAAATCTAATTTTATTCCTAACCTAGGAGTTGCCTCGAATACTTCTTAAAACTAGACTCTGTACTTTCATCAAATCCCCCTTTGCATTTTAATAACATGTAATCTCATCCAAAACATATCTGAAAAGCTTGAAACTAAAGCCAAGAAGATTAATATGAGCAAAAGCTGAAATAGGAAATTTATAAAATTTTACAAGTCTTTTCAATTTGATGAGTGGTCAGATGTGAAGACCCTTTTATCCATTTCTATGATTTCATGAACCATTAATGTGATTTATAGAATGTAATATAGTCCTAAGGCACAAATATTCACATTTTGTGTGAATTTTAACATATTTACTATCTCATAAAACGTTAGTTATGAATTCAAAGACGAAATTGTGAATTGGAAAAAAAGAAAGAATTCTGAAATAAAATTTTATATTGTAGATTTTTGTGGAAATTATAGTCGTATGGAAATTACTAGTTTGAGAGCCTCAAGCTTATTTTATGATTATTTTTTATTTTTATCCCAAAACTTATTCATATCTACTTAAGATTTTTCGAATGGAATTAAAAGTTCTGCAAACCCCTAAAACCTGAAATTAAAACTTTAAAAATAATAATTCAAAACTTAAAAATAAAAACCAACAAAATTTTATTTTTTTTTTCAAATTTAAATTTTTTTATTCACTTTCTTCTTCTCGCTTCTATCTGTGAAAATTTTTCATCTGACTCTTTTCACAAAACAAATTACAAATTTACATAAAAAAAATTTTCTTTCTCGCTTTTAATACAAAAGTCGATACATTTAATTTACACAGAGGATGCATAAACGTCTACTTAAATTTCATTTTGCATTGTTAAATGCTTTAAATTTAAAAGGGCTTTTTTACATGATAAGGATGAGTTTAATTGAGTTGAGGTGAATTGAAGGAAGATTTTTAATAGAAAAGTTTAATTTGATATTTCGAAAATTATTGAAATGTTAAAAAAAATTGAACTATCAAAACTATTAAAATTTCAAAATTATTAAAATTTCAAAATAATTGAAATGTCAAAATTAATAAAATTTGAATTTTTTTAAATTTTAATTTTTTTGAATTAAAATGTTTAAACAATTTAAATTGTGTCTAAAACGACACAAATTCCAAGACCTTAATCTAAACATTCTTCGCGAATCTCAACAAAATTTTATAGCTTTACCATCGACAATAATTCGATTGTCATGCTGTGAATTTTACTATTTTTCAAGCGAGTCGCATTAAAGTTTATAATTCGTATCATCTGTGACACCTGAAAATTCCTTCAATCTCCTCATAATTTAAAAAATTCGTCTAAAAAGTTTCAGAAGAAAACAAAAATTCGATTTCATTTAAAAGAAATTTGTACAAAAAATTCGACTTTTAAAATGCAAAAAAAAGAATCATTTTGGATTCATACACGGACGGGTTTTAAAAACTTATGGCTTCGCTATTTTAGTTTCTTTTAAATATTCGTTCTCTCTAATATCAATTTCTATTGCTAGTTTTTTATTGATTTTTGTGTTATTTAAATTATGGCTTATTTCAGCACGCTAAGCAGTCTTGTTTATTGATCAATAAAAGAATCTAAAATTAGATGGTTCTCTTAAAAGAAAGAAATTATATGAAAATGTAGAGAGAAATTTTTTAAATAACAAAAAAAACTTATGATATTAAATTTGATATTTCACATTTTTTTCTGCTTTCTTGTTCCTCGTTTGAAGAAGAATTCCTAACATAATATTAATATAAATGTACAAATATGTGAAATTCAATTTATTATATGCAATAAAATTACTGCATTCAGTTCTATTTGATTCTCAATTTTTAAGAATGTGTGAGGATTTAAAATTTATTGTTTTTTGGGAGTTTTCTTTCAGAAATTTTTGTTGAATGTTGAAAAAAAATAAGTTTGAAATAATTTTTTTAAACAATTTATAAAAATCTATTTTTTTCAATTTTAAAATCAAACTTTTGGCAGTAAAAAATATAAACTTGAAATTTTTGGATGTAAATTTTTTAAAATTCATTTTTTTATTTTTTTAAAGAGATTTTATGAAGTCAAATTTCTTTTTCTGTAATATTCAAAATAAATTAAATGTTTTTAAAAATTTAAAATTTTTTTAAAAACTCAAAATGTTTTTAAAAATTTTCTCATTTCATTTTTTGAAAATTTTACTTTTTCAAATCAAATTTTATTTTTTTTTAATATTTTAATATATTCCAATTTAATCTCAAAACATCCAACAAATCTTACCCAAATAATCTAATTCATCCCCACAGAGAATCACGAAAGAGTAGAGGAAAATATTTTCATTTTTTTTTTTGAAATAATATTAAAATATTTTGTACATAATCACCCGCTACACTCTCAGTTTCCGTTTCATTTAAAGTATGTCTCATTAATTTGAGTATTTACAGTTTTCTTTTTATTTTCAATAATTTCTAAAGACTTTATTTCACTTCCTCACCATCGCAACTACCAACGAGGAGTGAATTTCATTTAATAATACTAAAGGCACAATTGGCATTCCATTTATTTACAATTATTCTTTTTTATATCATCAAAGCCTTATAGGTTCACTTAGTTTTTTTTAGCACTGGACAATTTTTTTATCTTTTGCATTGTTTTTAAAATTTCTAAATTAACCTTAAATATTACAATAAAAATTCGAAAATATTTACAAAATTTTTTTTTTCTGTCTTTACATTCATTATTTTTTTTTTGTTCCTCAAATTTCGAGGCAGTCAATTATACGGAATATTTTGTTAACAACACAGCCCGAGAGTTTTTTTTAATTAAATTTAAATCCCTTTCATTACACATTATGATGTATAAATTTACATTTGATGTTTTCGCGGTTGCGGTTGTTGCTGTTGACGAGGTAATGAAACGAGATGATGACCGCCTGAAACATGCGGTGATATTGATGGAGACCTTGTCGCGAGTGGCGATAAGGATGGTGAAAAACTCGGTGACATGGCTGTTGATGTGTTAAAAACTCCCGTTGTGTCGTGACTAATTGGTGAACGTGTTGAACGAGGTAATAGGAAATGATTTGGTGCTGTTGGATGATGTGACATATTTCCACGAGCGGAGAGGACAGGAACTGAACGTGGTGCGACATTTGTTATTAGCGGTGGTATGTGCTTAATATGTAAAGCTGATTGTTTGCTCTTGGCACTTGATGCTGCACTCGCTCCACTATGTACTGACATTGAGTCGTCTTTCAGTCTTGCAATCTCAGAGAATACGTGAGCTAATGGCTGATATTGAGGACCCCAGTCGAGTAAATAGTCCCAATTATAACTACCTGTCAGCTCTTCTTCACTATGAACAATTGAACTAAGTGATCCATTCATTGATGGACCTTGTCCGACAACTACTGGAACATCACTATAATTACTCATCATTACATGATCTACTGTCGTTCCTATTCCTATACTTCCAGCTGTCGTACCCGCCTCATCTGCTTCACTAGCCCGATCACTATTGCCTCCCGTTACGTCATTTAATTTTGCATATATAAGATTTGTTAAATCTCCATCATTTGGCTCCTCATCAAACATGTGTAATGGAAGTGGATGATGAAGGATTGAATCTTTGGTACTACCAAGTCCCATACTCTCAGAGCAACGTCGCGATGAATTTGATGCATTTCCAGTTGCTCCTGTATCAACGATTCCTAATCGTGCCAAATATTCTTGTGTATTATGAACAGACACGTCTGACAATCGTCCATCATGAATTCCATCACGTAAACCTTCATTTATCATTCGTATCTCTTCATCCTCTCCATCATCCTCAGCTGAACCTCTCCCACTTGACCCTGACTGCTCTGATGCTGACAATTCAGATGTTGTTGCGGCACCAGAATTTGAACTTGCTGTATGTGGACCGTATGGTGGTATTTCATCATATTTTGGTGGTGCAAATTGACCTGCACCACTTGAACTGCCACGTATGGGAATTGTATCAAATGCTGATGGATCTACATAGCTATTTGAATTTCCAACAGTCTCATTACTAATACCAGTTTTTGCGACATGCTTATGGCGACGATTTTTCATATGTACAAATGCAAAAACGGCAGCAAATGCTAATACAAGGAAGAGAATTGTAAGAAGTAGTCCAACAGCCCATCCAGCAATTCCACTTGAATCATCTCCATTCATATTGTTCATATTGCTAGCTAAATTTGTTCCTGGATCAGCAAGTGGATCAAAAATAATCTCCACAACTGTCATATTTGTTAATGAGCCTTGTCGTCCTGAACTAGCTGTAACAACAAGACTAATATCACGTCCAGACTCTAATGCAACGCCTGAATCAAGTTTCTTCTTAATCATCACAGCACCAGTCGTTCGATTCATTTTAAAGTAAGCATGTTGTGTCGTTAATTGATAAACGACACGTCCATCAGGACCACGATCTCTATCTGTTGCTGTAACATGTCCAATAATATGTCCAATTGGCAAATTGTATGTCGGTCCGAGAATAAATCGATATGTTCTCTCCGTAAATTGTGGACTAAATTCATCACGACTGTCAATCATAATTTTACATTTAACATTTGTCGATTTGCCACCAACATCCATAGCTCTGATGTCGAATAAATATCGATTGCGTTGTTCATAATCAAAAATGGCATTTGTAGTGACAACACCCGTGATTGGATCTATTTTGAAATTCTTCCACGAGTCATCACCGTCACTATATCCATTAGATGGCAGAATTGTGTAATTAACTTTTCCATATTCACCCGCATCCAAATCAGTTGCACGAGCTGTAAATACACTGACACCAACCGGCTCATTCTCGCCGACAAATTCAAGATATTCATGTACGGGAAATTTAGGATCGTGATTATTCTCATCCTTTAGATTAATTGACAATGGCTGTAATGAACAATGTGGTATGACAGCTGAGTCACATGCACGTACAATAAGTGTATAATTTTGTATGCCAGTGTCATAGTCTAAATGTTTGTTTACAGATAAAACACCCGTGACAAGGTCGATGGAGAACATACCAAAATCATTGCCCGATGTTATATCATAGACAACCTCAGAATTCGGTGTGTTTGGTTGATCATTGTCTGTGGCAATAATTTTCATGATGCTATGCTTCAATGGTACAGATTCACTCAATTCAATCTCATATTTGTTTGCCTGAAATACAGGCTTCTCATCATTTGCATCCTCAACAGACACAAAAACATTAATAATACTTGAATTGTCCTCTTTATGCATTGTTGACGACTGCATACCAACTTCCATCATTTGAATACGTAAATGATAATAATCATTCGTTTCACGATCCAATGGATTTGTAAGGATTAAATAACTTTCTGGATATGTTACTTCAAAGACACCCTCATCATCGCCGGACATGATTTCGAAGAATATGCCATTGAGTTCGGTTAAGTCAGCTGCAGCATCGATAGATAAAAGTTTTGTCACAATTGTTCCTCTTGGTGTATTCTCATTGATTGTCGTACGGTATTGATGCTGCAAATATTGTGGCTTTATATGATTCCTTGAGTTGATGTGAACTCGTACAGTTGTCGTTGCACTTAGTGCCGGTACTCCTGAGTCTGTTGCAATCACTGTCAATTGAATATCACTTTTGAGTGGTCTTTGAATTTTTGATAAATTTGCATAAACTATTCCCGTCTCTTCACCAATCATGAATCCTTGTACTGAATTTTTGATGGAGTATCTGATAAGTGAATTCTTCTCGCTATCTACATCAGTCGCATTAACAGTCAATATTTCTATATTGGCATTTCCTGTTTCATCTAAAATGCATGAAAATTAAATATTGACATAAGAACATTTTTCAATATATTTATTCATTCAATTAGGGGCTGTTCGGAAGTGATGTCTGTCAAAAAATACATTAGGCAAGGGCCAAGCCTTGAGTTTTATATACGCTAGAATTTGAATCTCTGGCTGTGAAGCTGAACTACTCTAATCTAATTGTAGGCTTGTTTAAAAATTCAAATTTTGATAGACGTCACTACCTTACGACCCCCTTTATACGCAGTAAACATATCAACACAGTACCTGGTAAGGATGAGTGATAAGCAGCTTGTTGGAACATTGGATAATTATCATTGACATCTTTAACGCGAATAGTCAGTGTCGTTTGAGCAACATGAGCTGTATCCGATGCTAAAATTCTCAATTGATATTCTTGCCTCTCCTCATAATCTAATGGCTTCTGTAGAATGACTTTTCCGCTGAATTTGTCGATTGAAAAGATTGTCGTTGCAACATCATTTGCGTCCTCAAAGTCTGTGTTGTTATGAAAACCGGTCATGAAACTATACGTGATAGCTGGATTGGTGTCAACATCATTTGCAGTAACTGTCGTCAAAACCGTCCCAAGCTCCGTTCCTGTAATTTATAATCATTCAAAAAAATTTATTATTTATGGGTAATTTAATGTGCGGATTAAATTCATTTTTGTTGTTTAAAATTAAAAAATAAAAAAATATCAAATTGCATAATTTCCTTCAGGCTTAACTAAAGTTAATGAAGAAGAAGATTGAGTGAGAGAGATGAGAGAGAAAATGGTAAATATGCGAAGTACCTCATACCATAAACGGGACCCCGCGCAACATTCATTCGTATATAGGAATAACACACACTCACGCATATTCTCGCGAGGCAAAGAAACTCGATGATAAAATGCCGATAAAAGTATGCAAAAGTTGTAAGAAGAAGTCATGCAGTCGGGACGCAACAAGCAGAAGAAAAAAAATTGTTATGTACGTAAGAAATTTATATATAAAGATTGGTGCCTCGCACGCCGCAACAAAAAAATAAGAGAGACACACAAACAACATTTGAGAGATGAAGCTTAATGCATTTTTGTTGCATTGCGCCAAACACACATATTCCACAAAAAAAACATTATCAAGCATCATAAATTTAGCAACAAGATCGTAAATGTCATTTTTGATTTTGGAAGCACCAAACTTTATAAATTTAATTTTTATGTTTTTTTTTGCGGTATAGGAAATTGTTGAGGTTTAAAGGATTGTACCTTTTTGTACTCTCAGTTTCTTTTGACTTTTGGATTAAATGTTCCTTTATAATCAATTTATGTGACTTTAGGAAGTTCTTATCCATTTTTAGGTAGTTTATCTATTTGTAGAGATGATTTTGAAGAGTTTGATTAGTGTTGAGAGTAAAATTGGGTCAACAGGTTGATTTAACATTGTACAGAGGAGTTTAGATCAGTAAACTATAACTTTGGGTAGGCTAAGGGGTATTGTAAGGGTTAAAACCCTCTAATGTGGTTGGATCGGTGAAAAGTGTTTTGAATAGCCTTAGGAGTGGTATACTGCATTATTCGGGTACCCCAGGTTGCCTAAGAAACTTACTTTGCCTAGCTTGGCTAAGAAACTAATAAAAGATCATAAGCTTGTCCTTAAACACTCCAAACAGGTAAACCAGAAACCAAACTCAACATAAGAAAACAAATTGACAATAAAAATTCAAAAAAATGCGCCACATTTCCATATTAATCTACAAACACGCCACAACCATCAACATTTGTTCTGTCTACATGCTTCCTCCAAGATGTCCAACAGAACTTTTCGATCAACAACAACACACAACACAAAAGGAAAGTTTCAAGCTCTTTATTGAACATGAATGAAATATGGAAAAATTTTTAAGTACAAAACATGTTACATTACTTACAAACAGCTTCAATTTTCAATCAAGGATAAAAAAATAAAATAAAAATGCATTGAACAATTTACACCAACAATTCAATTTTTCAATTCTGTAACATGTCGTCGAGGAGATAAGGTAAATACAAATGGTAACATCGAATATAAATCAATAAGCGTGAGGAAGAAGAAGGAGAATAAAAATTGTATCAGATGAGAAACCGAGTTGAGTTTCGAACTCTTTCGCATTCGTTCATTCAATTTTATTTACTGCATGGGAAAAATTCCTTTAATCATATATGCACTATAATATCCCGAATAGCACAAGTTGGTTAATCGAATAGAAACCCGGCACCAAGCCAGCTTAACTCTGGAGTGATGCTAGCTTTGATTTAAATCTAGCACTTTGCGAGAGTCAGATCAGCTTGGAACCGAATTTCCAGAGCTCGAAGTCGATAGGGTTCGAGTCGACTCGAGTCAACTCGAAAAAAATGGAAGTTTACTCGAAGAAATTTGAGTCGACTTGAAAAAACCCGAGTCGACTTCGAGCTCTGCAAATTTCTATTTCAACCGACTTGTGCCATTCGGGTATGCTACAAGTGTAAATATGCATAGACGCCAATTTGTAGATAAATTTATTTTTATTGATTTATTTTCAAGTGAAAAATTTTTTATGGTTGATGTGGATTGGAATCGACCTTCGATGATGATTCTACATTCATAATAAGACCAAAAATAATTTCGGTGGAAAAATCGATGAGTTGAAATTATCCACGGATGGAAAAATCAATGAAATTATTGAGTGGAAAAAAGGAGGTGAAAGGTTGAATGTTTTGAACTTCCTTGCTTAGCAGAAATATTTTTTTGGGGTGTTTAGTCTTGTAAACTGGTTGTTAAGTATGTTTAGTCTAGTATGTAAAGTTTAGGATACTAAGTAGTGTCTATAGTTGTCCTTAACCACAGTAAGACATAATATAGAGTATTGTGATCACTAAGAGTGCCTTATCATTCCAAAAGAGATGATAACGAGTATGAAGAAGTGTTTTGAACCAATTAATGATCCTCAATACTGTCTACAAGCTACCTGATGTACCAAAAGAACATTAGAAGTGCTTACAAGAAACCATAACGTCCAAGGGACATAAAAAACCCAGTTAAAACAATTTCAAAGAAAATATCCATCAACACACAATCCAAGACTCTCCACACACGGAAGCAGATGTTCCACAAATCAATAAAATTATTGAGCAGAAAAATATTCTCAATTTATTACATTAACTTATTTTTTCATATATTAATATTTCACCTACCTTCGCTCACAGTAATGCTCCGAGGTGGAAACGTTGGTTGATTATCATTAATATCAACAACATGAATACTAATAGTGGCAGTGCCTGTCATTTGAGGCACACCCTCATCCGTAGCAATAACTTTAAGTCGATAAATCTCACGAATTTCTCTATCAAGAACAATATTTGTCTTAACTATTCCACTAAATGCTGGCTCAATAATAAATGCATTATCATGATTGCCGTCAACAATGTGATAGAGTACACGAGAATTTGCACCTTGATCAGCATCATGTGCAGTCACTTGCATCACAAATGTTCCCTTTGATTTTCCCTCCCACACAGCTGCATTGTAATGTTGTTGCGTAAAACGTGGCGCATTATCGTTTTCATCTTTTAATGTAATGTAAATTTCACAATATCCATATAGTGATTGTGCACCTTCGCTTCGTGCAACGACAACTAAATGTATACCACTTCCGCTTGACGATGGATTATTAACTGTATTTTTCTGTTGATAACGTTCAAAATCCAATTTTTCAGCATTAAGTACACGAATTTCACCGCTTGTCGAGTCAATTGAGAATATTTCATCCTCATTGCCACTGCCGAAAGCATAAATAATCTTATGACTCTGACGACGACCGTCACTGCGTACGGCATTCAATTGTGAAACGAGATGTCCAGCTGGTGTATTTTCAATCAATGTCACATTGTAGATATCTTTTTGGAAGCGTAAAACTGGAAGGTTTTGTGGCACGTCACCTACACGCAACTCAATTAAACCCGTTGCTTGTTGTGGCGGATTGCCTTTATCACGAGCAATTACTTCAAGATGTAAAAGCTTTCCATTTTCACTTGCAAGACTTTGAGTTGCACTCAATACACCAGTTGTTGGATTTATACGAAATTTACTATTTGTTCCATCATTTGCCAGACTATAGACAATCTCACCATTCGTACCCTGATCAGCATCTGTCGCTGTGACTTGTAACAACTGTTGACCAGGTTGTACGAGTGCACCAACTTGTGCTGTAAATGGATATTTATCAAACATCGGAATCTGATCGTTAACATCATCAATAGTTATTTGAACTGGCACACGCTGTGATCTTGCATCGTAACGACCACCGTCCGTTGCAACAACCATAAAGTTGTAAATGTGTTGACGTTCTCGATCAAATAATCTGCAAAAGAAAATTATAGAAATAATTAAGAATCGATTTAAGAATATGAAAATAAATATTTAAATAAAATTGAAGTTAAGAATGAATAAATTTATTTAAAGACTTGATTTCAGGAGAGTTTTGTATTTAATTTGGTAAATCACTAACAACATTAAAATAAATTCTCTAATAAAAGAAGGGATTGGTAGTGGATTTATTAGAGTATGAAGACTTTCGCGCATTTTTATTAAGCTAAGTTCTGTTATTTTATTTCCTAAAATTCAATTTAAATTAATTCTTTTAAAATCAACTCCAAATCCACTTCTCAATCCCAAATAATACTGCAGATTGTGCTCTCTTTTTGTGCAAATGTAACAACAACAACAACAACTTAAAAACAAGAATTAAAGGCGAATGCAGTTGAAGCACAAAAAAATTGAGTATAAAAGAAAGGCAATAGGCAATAAAACGTTTATAACATCCATTTAAAATGGTGTTTCTTTCTGTCGATATGAATATGAAATTGAATTTTCGTTTTATGAACATGATGGCATACCGAAAAAAAAATGAATAACAAAATCGAGAGTCTTTTTCACGATTGTAATATTGAAGGCATTTAATAAGGTTATACCACGGAATTCTTTTTGCTCGTTATAACTCATTCACGTGATAATAAATCATCGCAACACAAATTTTTTCTCTCACTCTCTGTAGTCGATGTCTCTCTCTTTCTCTCTTTTTCTCTCTCCCTCTCTCTCTTTCTCTTTCTTGTGTTTTAAGAGAAATCTTTCGCATATAAATAATAATAACTTGCAAATTGAAAAGGGTTTAGGTATGTAGATTGGATTAAGCGCTGTTTATAATGGGTTACTTAAAAATGGACATGAATTTGATCTGCTAATTGTAGGCTGCAGGCGCGTAGCCAGGGGGGAGGAGATTTGGGGGACAAATGTAATCAGAAATTTCTTTATTTTGCTAGAGTTTTTATGAAAAAATCACAAAAATACACCCCCCCCCCCAAATTTTTCCCTACAAAAATAAAGTTTTTGCTTCCCCTCTTTAAATTTCTGGCTACGTCCTTGGTAGGCTGACCATCTCCTTGGTATGTCAGAAGACAGTTCTCTATTTTTTTCATTTTTCAAAAATAAAATAGTTTTTGTTTGTTCTAATTCGTCCAGAAAACGAATAAATTTGGTCGACATGTGGAATTTTATCTATTTTACTTTCAGGTCCTCTATTTTTTCAAAAAATATCTGTTTACGTTAGCTAAGTTTGGTAAGAGGGTTGTAATTGTTATGTCAGACATCTTTGGTCCTTGCAATTAAATTTAATCCAGCGAATTTCTTTATAAGAGGGCTATTTAAAGGGGTGCAGGAAGGATGTCACAGCTGATTTGTTTAGGCTATATTTGGCTTTTATTGACAAGCAGGATTGCAACAACATGTCAGTCAATATCACGAGAGTAGCAAGAAATACTTTTCTGTGGTCAACCCCACTCCTCACCCCTTCTTGGCAACGCCCCTTGTCAACACCTAGGCTCGAAAACTAGGCGGTAAACCGTAAATACCACCAACTTCCATACAGATACCTCCAAATCAAGGCGTGGTAACAATCCCAAATATTCCATTTATCCCAAATATCCCAAAAATATTCAAAATAATCCCTGAGCCTGTATGCACGATAATAAAGATTTCCTAACGAATCCTTAGTGTATTGGACATTTAATCTTGGGATTCGATGGGATATCTCAATTTTAATGCATGCAGGCTCAGGGATTGTTTTAGATATTTTTGGGATATACGGGATAAATTGGATATTTAGGATAGTTTCAACGCGTTGCTCCGAATACCCCCAAATACATACAGCCTCTTTATATAAGATACCGCTAAATACCGCCTAGTTTCCGAGCCTGGGTCATCACAATGCTTTGTTTAAACAAAATTTGAACAAAATAATCCTTAAAACTTGTCCCAAAAAATCAAGTGCTCAACAAAATTTAAACTCTGAATCCCCCAATTCAGCCAATTCAGCAATCCCCAATCTGCAAAATCCACAAATCTTCCCCATAAAATTAGCTTCAAAACAATATTTTTTTCATCTTACTTGCTAAGGTTGAAATAAATATAAAAAAAATAAGTATTAAAAAAATGGGAAAATGCATCCTTGACTGCTACAAAAACCAGCAAGCAATATGCATATATGTACATTATCTCAATATACATCGATATATGAATTCTGGTGTAGGTGGGCGTGATGTTGTAACTTGTCGAAAGCGAAAATGATGGACTTTCATATTCATCTCATTTCTCAATTTCATGTATTTTATTTCATTTATTATGATGTATACACTCATGTATGTTCATATCTACAGAAATGGTATGTTTTTCATCGTCATCATCATCGTCGTCTGTTACATATAGGCACAAAAATACCAAAAATATATATATTTATACTGAAGAGATATTTAAGAATGCATGAAAGCAAATAATTGCATTAATTAAAGGCGTTGAGTGGCTGAATGATTAACATGAATCTATAAATGGAAATTCTCAGAATATCATCGAATATCACATTTGGCATCGTATGTAATGAAATTAAATTGAAGACAAAAAAATAAAAATAAAAAATATATAAATTTTCATTGAATAAAATCGATATGGAAAGTGGCTTATTACGATTTATAGTACTATTATAATGCATCATTGGGACAAGGAATTGCTGGTACTTATGGGCGTCATTCATAAATGATGTTTTTTGACTACTTTGACAAAGCAAGACACTATCGAGTGAGCCTCACAGCAAGTTTGGGTCAAAGAATTGCTAGTATTATGGGCGTCATCTATAAATGATGTTTTAGACTGCCATGACAAAGCAAGACCCTATCGAGTGAGCCTCACTGTAACTTTGATCCAAATCCATCACAATTTCACTTATAAAGTCATTAAGCTGCTCAGAATCTACCCAAAATATTAGACATCATTAATGAACGACCCCATAGTATTCTCCTTTTTCACATTTAATATTATTAAGATTTATGACATAAAAACAGCATACTTTTATTTTATTATGTTTATTTTATGAAGTCATTTGCAAGGCTCTCACTTTCCCATATGCAATTTTTTCGGCTCTTTTTTTTTATTCACACAAAAAAAAATGCACAGCGAACAAAAAGATCCCATTTGCCATTATGCATATCTCTTTGTACCTTTACCTCTTCTGCCCTTTTTGCTTGCCTGTCTACAACAAGTCGTTTCGTTCGTTGTGTAGAATCAAGTAAGCACTTAATGCTCTTTTATTGTAATTAAACATAAAGTGGTTGTAGAGGATGCTTTGTGTCTTTTAACGGCGATCATTTTATTCATTTTGAATATGTGTAAAGGTAAAGAGTAATGTTAAGTAGGGAATTATTATTGTGGAGATGATGATTCGGATGTGTTCTTGTGGTTTTTTTAAGAGTTTTTATGGGTTTGATGTAGGTTTTGATTAAGTTTGGGGTGCGATCGATAGCATATGTTAAGTGTAGGTCAGTTGGTCATGAGCCAACGACGTAGGCAAAAAAATCTTTTGGGAGCTTTTTGCACTATCACAAGTTTTTTGCAGGTTTAGTTTCGAAAACGTTCAAAGTTGGGGCTCCCTCCAGATTATGACCCCTCCTCCCTCGCTCCTCTTGCTAAGCTCCTGTCCTAAGCTTTACCACCAGTTTAATTGTCTTTAGTTCGATCAATACTTTGTTTGTTAAGCATTCTTGCAATTACTACCTTCAAGACTAGTGTTTTTGAAATAAATCATTAATGTCCTTCAATGCTGTGCAAGCGCTAAGCCAAGGGAGATTTGATGAACCTTAATTTTGCTAGGGCTTTTATGAACAAAACTTAAAATTTCGCCTCCCCCCCCCCCTTCTTAAATTCTTCTATACCTAGCTAAAGCTATCATTTGCTTCAGTTTCAATTCATTTAGGTCCAGTTATCAATATCAGACGCACATACTTCCCTCCTCAACTCAGCCACCAATCTTGATCCAACAATCTAAATTCTCTACCACATTACTCTCAATAAACCATGAATTAAAAACAACAAAAATTCAAGAAGAAGATGCCACAATATTTGCCAAAATAAGAAGCAATAAGGGAAAGAGAGATGAAGCACAGTGGATAATTCAGCCTTTTGGCATATGTTTATAAATCGCTTTGTGTTGTTATTCGACTTGTTCTCCATAGGTACACACAGGTACGTGAATTGAAAAGGATTATAATGGCATCGACAACAAAAAAATATAAATATCGTACTCTGTTATTAGCTATTGAAATTGCCCAATGTACAGCTGAATAATAGAAATTTGTTGTTTATTCTCAATTATAATGGAAGCACACAAAAAAGAAATCTTTTAAAAATTCATTTTTCAATCAATTTTACTAATTAATTGCCTGTTAGATTTTTATGGGTATTTAAATATAAAATATCTGTGCTTTAGGTTGATGGGAAACTACTCAGCAGTTTCTCGTCATCACTAACCAGATTTACTGCCAAGAATCCATTAATTCGCTCAGCAATAGCTTTATTGGTAATTAAATGTCTAGTTTTTTATAATCAATTGCTCACTCAGCGCGCGAGTTTGTGAACGAAAAAAAATATAATTAATTTTATTTGCCGAATGACTATCCGTCAAGTTCTAGTTACAGTAAAAAAGAGGTAGTTTGCATGTTTGAAATTCAACAAGGTGCATTTAAATTAAATTTATCTAAACAATATTAACTTGACAGTCACAAAAAATAATATTTTATATCTGTGATTTGCGACCCTTGTGGAGAATTTCAGGAAAATAAATAAAATATGAATTTAAAATAATTTAAGTTTGACATTTTAAAAATTTTAAAAAATTTAAAATTAATTTTTTGAACTTAATAAGTTTTAAAATTTTGAACTTTAGCGGAAAAATTGAAATATTTTAAAAAATAAAAATATTTAAAACCTTTGATGATAAAATTTAAAAATGTTGAAAAAAAATAAAATGTTGAAAAAATT